ACGTTATTTTAATACTTAAGAAAGAACCACTGTAAAAATATGACTAAAGATAAACAGTTTGGTTCCAAATACGTCATCGTCTCTAACAGCTGAAGAGCGGCTAACAAAAAGAACTACTTTTACTTTTGTTGTAATAATAAACGTGCCATAAAACCTATGCTCAAGATTCAATGAATGAATGAATGAATGAATATACAAGGGGTGGGCCCTCTCGGCCCTTGATCAATGCAGGGAATTTATACCGCCAGTAGCTTCGTCGCTTAGCTAACATTCTATTAACTACGTAACAGAAGCAGACCACAAACGTAGGTTCACGTACAAATTCTTGCGGCTCCACACAAGAGCGAGCCACAGAACAACAGTGCCTTGCAGCGAAGAAGTATGTAATGTAACTTTCTAACAATAGGTGGCAGCACAAACTTCCGTGCATGCCTGGTCACTGTTTTATCACATGACTTACGAACCTCGAAGTGCACCGATGGAGTACCGTAGTTTGGTATAGCGGCTGTTTTTTTATGGTAGAGGCATGGACTCTAATATTGAATTTAAAAATTAAATTCTTTCTGCAGCTACCGTAGAGTTCAGAGACCAGTGTGTGTGGTTTTCTATTTCGAACATAGTAAGAGACCTTCATGATTTTCAAATATTACTTTTCTGTGGTAAGCTAGCTTGGAAGTTCAGTTTCGTACAGGTTCGCACGTTGGACAACACGGATTTGAGTAGGCTCTACCCTTTAATTACTGTGACCCGCAAAGGGATGCAGGGAAAATAATCAAAGAAACAGTATTACAAACGAGAAGAATGACAAGCTAATCTCAGTCACTGGAAGATTAGCTCTTTCTAAGGGGCCCAACTGAGTAGGTGTCTTCCTTTCCCACCTGAAGACGGAGACAGATCCAGTTTCCGAAACGTCGTGTACTCAATTATAGCAAGTGTCACGTAACTTCGAACAAGGCCAAGAGTAACCTTGAATGCGCAGAAGAAAAATTTCAGACAAGTGGGTGGGTTCGAGGGTTCGAGGTTGCACAACTGGCCGCCTCTCACTTCTCACACCCTCGAACCCATCCCCTTGTCTGAAATTTTTCTTCTGCGCATTCATGGTTACTCTTGGCCTTGTTCGAAGTTACGTGACACTTGCTATACCTAAAATTCCGGACAATGGAAAAGTCCCAAACTCCAGTAATTCTGTGTGTCATCCACCATCGTCAGAACCTTTTATAATCTAATTATTTCTTTCAATACAAGAATTTAAGATACATTTTCGTGAATTTAGAGAAACGAATGTCAAAAAATCAGTGGATATTATTTCTGTTTTGTGGAGTCTCCCGTGCAAGCGCCCCAGTCTCACTGGTTGTGTGCCCATTTCTGACATGTACTGTTACAAAGTTAGAATAAAGGAAGTGCTGTATTTCGCTTACCTTGTCTGTCTTGACAACTAGGTTACTCCACAAGAAAAGTTAAAGACAATGGTTCTCTTTCTGTTTGTTGCTACCACGAGTGTATATTTGACAAGTCTGGGGAGAAGGGTTTAAAAAATATATCGATGATAAAATCAGTCGTACAATTGTATGTTGCTACGTAATATGTGTGTTTCGTGCAAGTAAGTTAGAACTTCCGTTGAATGTAAGAACAATAATTTTCATATGTTAACAGGAGTGAAAACTTTAAAGTGAGAACAAGAAGAAGTGTAACAAAAGCTGTATTATTTTGTGTTATATATGGTTCCTTTGTCTCATATCTAAGTACTGAAATCTATATTCATCTAGACAAATGATTTACACAATGTAGGTAACTGTTAGCAGTTTCGTCTCTCTTGTAGTTGCCCTGATATGTCAGTTAGCGCACTGTTTACGTTAATAAGAGCAGAGTTGCAGAAGCGCCAGGAATGTGTTTCAAATGAGGCTGGATATTAGAGGCATGAAAGCCAGTTCTATTTATAATGAAACATTGACTATTATGTGGCTTATTTACTTCATTTAAGTTACGTTACACATAGAAGATCACCCAAATCCACTACTCAGCCAAATACTAAAACCAGTCAACAGGAGACTTAAGAGACAGTGGCCAACAGATAATAATTGAAAACTCTGAGATAACATCACTGGACGTTAACCTCAACAAACCCCAGCTATAGCTAGGATACCTAGCACGGATCAACACATTAGCTTATAGAATGCACTGTATTCTGATTGCTGATTATGTGTTTTATATATATATATAAGTTACGTTACAATACGCTCCTAAAACCAACCTTATAATTCTCTGTGTCGTCATCACAGGATAGAAAGGATTAATTGTTAGGTTACCCAATGAAGCTGTCATTTTAAGAAAGTAATTACAGAAAATGAGGTAGTATTACGATTTTAAGCGTTGAAGATCAAATACTGGGAAGAACAGCGGCTGTGGCCTGCTTACAGATATTCCGAAATGTCTTTAAAAGGACTGAAAAAAAAAAAACACGAAGATATTAAAACATAGCGGCTATGCAGATTCGAATAAGTTTAGAGCTGAGTACGGGTTACACACACTGCATCGTGACGTATCACTTTCTACGTACCTGTCGTGCACATTTACTAATGGTGTGTTCTTATTTCTTAGTACTTAGTTCCTTCCGTAGCGTTTATTTTTCAATCTCCTTAAACCTAGCTGAAATAAAGACTACGCTGGCTTTGATTCCTGACTAAGTACCGCAGTCCAGAGCGCATAAATTCCATTGTCAACGTTCGATTACATGTTCCATGAAATCAAGAATATGGTTCTCCACTCAAGGGCTTTTTTAAGTACATTTAACTGTCAAGAAGTAAAACTCTGTGTATTCTTCACGTTGGTGAACGGAGAAGTTCATGGAGGTAGGCCTAGCTGGGGTGTAGTGCCAAGGAAAAAAAAATTCTTCCACGTTGAATTGAATGTGGGGAAAGTTTAATAAAGCTTAGAGAGGTTATGTAACCGTTACGAATATAACTGAGTAATGTCGCTAAGGCATTAAGTTTTTCCTCCCTTTACACTACAGCCGCAGTGGGCATAGGCCCACCTCCATGAACTTCTCCGTTTCACTTTGGTTTACTAAATCTTAGACATACGATAGGACTCCTTGGGCGGGTGTTCAGCTCGTCGCAAGGCGTCTACCTGTACACAAACACAGAAAAACGCACACACACAAACTAAACATCCATGCCCTGAGTGAGATTCGAACCGATGATCCAGGATTCCGAGCGAGCGAAGACAGTGCATGCCTTAGACCGCTCGGCTACCGTGACCGGCAAGGTATTAAGTTTAGAATAGGTAAAGCTGATCAAAAAAGAATATTGAAGGACTTTTGAAAACATAAATTCTAATTTACTGTTATACTTCTATATTTTTTGCTTAACTATCACGATATGAAGGCAGTTTATGGAACAGTGTAGGCATATCTGCACGCATTCCTAAACTCGCACTTGAGGAAGATGACTTCTTATGTTATAGGTAAGAGCTATCCCTGTAACAAGCTGTGGAGGCCCATAATTTTTGTTAGACGTCGAGGCTCCCACACACATATACGTATATACAATCGGCTCACAGATAGCGGGGAGGATGCTTTGGAAATATTTCTCATATATAGAAGAATGTATTCCCTTTTGTAGTTTACTTACTTAAGGGGTACGCTGTAGCGTAGTTTGTTGAGGGGCTATGCTACAAGCCGGAAGGTCGCGGGTTCAAATCCTGATGAGGTAATTGGATTTTTTCAATTTACCTAATCCTTCCGGCCGCACTATGTCCCTGGGGTCGACGCAGCCTCTAACAGAAACGAGTACCAGGAATTAATTAAACAATTTTCCTGGGGAGTAAAGCGCGGCCGGTGCGTAAGGCTAACAATCTTACCGCCATCTTTGAGCTGATTGTCTAGATAATTTAGGACCCTCAACGTCTCACAACCCTATGGGCCTTCACGGCCTGTTACAGGGATAGCTGTACTTTTTTTTACTTTACTTACTTATTCATGGAGCTTAGCCTTTCTTAAGGAGCGGCTAATTCTGCGGCTACTCAAGAATTTCTCAACATTTTATGGAACCCGAAGGTTCATTACTGTGTTGACAAGAACCCTCCACTGGTCCCTATCCTGAGCCAGACCAATCCAATCCATAACATCCCATCCTATCTCTCTAAGATCCATTTTAATAATTCCCTTTAATAATATTAAAAATAATAATAATCACAATGCAATAGTAATAATAAATAAATATTAATAATAATAATGATAATGTCTGACAAATAGTCGCTCTTGTAGCATGTTAAGGTTTCCTACCCTTCAGTCAGTGGTTTTCCTAATGTTAACTTCCTTAGACTTATATGACACAATCTGATATTCTGTTGCTTATCGTGCTTCTTTCTTCCTCCTCATAAGCTTATATTTCATTTTCGCAAATGATATTCTCTTTTCATCTTCTTTTCTAATCGCCCGGGCTTCATTTCCTTCTGCAAACACAGGTATTGCCAAAATTCTGCAGATTTGATTTCTAACATTAATTTTGTCTGAAGGTTTGAATACACGATTTATTGTTCCACTCTGTGTTTAAGAAAGAAAAATAAGCCATAGCTTTCAGAGCCTAAAGGAGGTTTCTTACTATTTTCTAATATCTGTCCTGTTTCCGGGACATATTTACAATTTGAACAAGAAGTTGACTTGTCACAGAACAAAGAAGACTTTGATATATGCACTGGCATAACTGCACAAAGTAGTTCATTTTGTTAGAATCCAGATGATATCAGCTCTTGTCTGCCAGGACTCTGACAATGACTAGAGCGAAGAAGTATTGCACAAGCAGTGATTTATACTTGACACACATGGCTCAAATAACAGAGGACATATGTTACGAAACAAACGGAAGCAAATTTTTATAAAATTTTATTATGAAGTACTTGAATATTTTATTTGTACACTGTATTGCATTACACCTTTCTTACCAACTTCATAAGCTTGTCTCTAAACTATGCAATTTGTGGTGGAGAGTTATTTCATGTATACATAACGTAACAACATATGGCATTATGATATATGTAGCAGATTAGTTCTGATAAAATATATGAAACTTCTGAACATTATGTTACACGCCACTTTCATCTTTGTTACCCCTCCCCAGTTACATATGGTAGCGAACTCTTGGAATATTTGACGACAGTTCTTTGCTTGTTTTTTGGAAATGGAAGGATTGTATACATAGATTTCTGATGAAAGTATAAAGGCATGTTCCAGTTCCAAACTGCTTTATGTCGATAAATATTCCCTCTGTGTGTCTCAGCCTCAAGCAACGTTTGGACTATAAGCCCTGCTCACCTGGCGCACAAAGTACTTAGTAACCACGTGGCTGCTGTAGAAATAGGCTGATCTGTAGTGAAATATTTGGAATATAGTAACTGGGATAAAACCAACAATAATTTTCAGTCAAAGAAAGCTCCCAATATGTGTAATTTTTGTATATCATGGCGAAAACTGGAGATTTTCTCATCAGGGTCTGAAGGTGAGAAGGGGCGACAGAACAAAAGACATCCCAGAGAGATAAAAGACAATGCAGTTATTTCTTCTGAGAAGACATGTAACACAGAATTATTAACTCAATCAATTTTAAGTTGGTCTGACTGTTTCGATCTCAGTTTCTCTGTAGTAAACCGAAATTGACATTGATCAGCCTTCCCAAGCGAAAGTGAGTTTAGTTTGTTAATGATTAACTGATAAGACAGGTAGCCATCTGCTGAATTTGAGATAAGTTTCGAAAATTGCGTCTCGTTTCTCACATTCACCCACAGATGGCTTCCATGTCTTTTATGGTACGTAATGGCAGCTGCAAATATAAATACGCCTACATCTGTCATTAAAATAGGCAAGAGAATGAAATGAGGAATCCGCGACAACACAGCGGCTCTTAATTGCAATGTCGCTTTCAGACCATTATCACAAAGTACTTAGTACTTTTGAAGTTATACAACTTCTTCCTGTGAACGCTGTAAATGGAATGAAATGTTGTCATATGAGTATGATTCTGACACAGGTAGGGTAACATGGCATGATATGTTGAGCTGCAGGTCACTCTGAGAACGGTTAATGGTAGTAACCTCCATACACGGGGGCCTTGTAGATGGCGGGCGCTGCTACTGCCTTGACCACAGCTCCGGGATGAACGGCTGGTCCGCTGCGGTGTACGACGGCGTTGAATCCGTTGTGTGCGTCTGCTGTGTAGGACACAGTGCGGACAGTGCCATCAGGTTCCACAAGGCTGTACTCCCCCTTCACCACGTCACCATCCCGCTCCTCCCATTGGCTCTTAATGTCTCCTGTATGAGCGTCATTCACACCGTAGCTGAAGCTGTACTTAGGGTACGCCTGAAAGTACATTTATGTATTTATGCTTATTTAAGATGCAGTCAGTGGCATAGATTTTACAGAATCCAATTAGAGTCAAGCAATAATGTGGGAGGAATCAACTATGTCATAATTTGAAGTCCTCTTCCGGCGTTTGGTTGCAGCGACTGAGGAAATCCTAGAAAAATCGTAGTCATTATAGCCGATACCCTGTCCGATATTCGAACTGGGTACGTCGCGAATACAAGTCAGAATAATTACCTCACGAGTCATCTTGCATTATACCTGAAAGTACAGGAATAGAATTTGGCAATGAAAAAGCATCTGCCTTCTGTGACATGGGGATTCTGAAGATACAGAAACCACTGTCGCACTGCAGAAGGATTAAGGTACAAGAAACACTTCAGAAATAACTGTTTTCCCCGACAGAAATGTGTACCTGGGGGGATTCGTTAGGGTACAGAAAGCGCTGCAGAAACATCTGCTTTCCTCCGAGATAAATGTGTAGCTGTGGGGATTCCTTAAGGTACAGAAAGCGCTGCAGAAACATCTGCTTTCCTCCGAGATAAATGTGTAGCTGTGGGGATTCCTTAAGGTACAGAAAGCGCTGCAGAAACATCTGCTTTCCTCCGAGATAAATGTGTAGCTGTGGGGATTCCTTAAGGTACAGAAAGCGCTGCAGAAACATCTGCTTTCCTCCGAGATAAATGTGTAGCTGTGGGGATTCCTTAAGGTACAGAAAGCGCTGCAGAAACATCTGCTTTCCTCCGAGATAAATGTGTAGCTGTGGGGATTCCTTAAGGTACAGAAAGCGCTGCAGAAACATCTGCTTTCCTCCGAGATAAATGTGTAGCTGTGGGGATTCCTTAAGGTACAGAAAGCGCTGCAGAAACATCTGCTTTCCTCCGAGATAAATGTGTAGCTGTGGGGATTCCTTAAGGTACAGAAAGCGCTGCAGAAACATCTGCTTTCCTCCGAGATAAATGTGTAGCTGTGGGGATTCCTTAAGGTACAGAAAGCGCTGCAGAAACATCTGCTTTCCTCCGAGATAAAAGTGTAGCTGTGGGGATTCCTTAAGGTACAGAAAGCGCTGCAGAAACATCTGCTTTCCTCCGAGATAAATATGAACTTGGGGAATTCCTGAGTGAACATAACCCACCGTCAGTACTGCAGAAACATTTGCTTTCCGTTACAGAATGTCAGTATTTTGGGGGAGCCTGAAATTATAGGAACCGCAGAATAGACTGATTTCCCAATTGGTTTGCGTCTGCCAGAACAACAGTCATTGGTTTACAGCAGAAGTGTTCACTTTTAACAACAGGGATCTGTATTTTGTATAGGTATGCAAATGAAATAGTTATTGTGAACATTGCTGAAACAGCCAATTTGACAGTCTTTCACTACATTTCTTCTAGCATCAAAACGTATTCTATGCTCAACACACAGCAAAGCCTATCGATCCATACTGATTTCAGCCATTATCTGTCTATTTATCTGTCTGTCTGTCTGTCTATCTATATATCTATCTATCTATTGCTCTACAGCCTCTTGTTTGACCTTGGCCGCTTTTTCGGTTTCTTGATCTTTTACACAGTCGGTATAACTCCTTGGACGGGGGATCAGCCCGTCACAAGGCCGCTGCCTACACACAAAACAACACAAACACAGAATAGACGCACAGATATCCGTGCTTCAAGTGGGATTCGAACCCTCAATGCTAGTGTTTGAGCGGGAGAAGACAGTTTATGCCTTAGACCTCGCGGCCACTGTGATCGGCGGTTGCAGCCACTACCCTTAACTGACTTGATCTAATCATCATCATCATCGTCATCATAATCAGTAATCTATCAAGACGACAGGTCCACAGTCTCTTCCAAAACAGTTCCTCCACTTAATGCGATCTAGAGCTTTCTCCTTGAAATGAAAATATTCTCTTCTGTCCCCAAGGTCATCCAGCATCTTCTCACGTCTTCTTCCTCGTCTTCTGGTCACTTCTATCCGCCCCTCTATCTTTCCTTCAATAACTTCTTTTAGAAGGCAGTTTCTGCGTAAAACTTGACCAATCCAATTAGCCCTCCGTTTTCTTACTTCGTGTAGGATATTCCTCTGCTCACTGACTCTAATTAACACTTCGTCATTTCTCGCATAATCGGTCCAACTGATCTTCTCCATCCTTCTCCAACACCACATTTCGAAACTTTCCAGATGTTTCTGATCTACTGCCCTAAGTGTCCATGTTTCAGCCCCATACAGAGCTATGCTTTGATCTAATATTCGTTCACATATTCGTGACTGCTGAACAATGTAATAAGTGTGTGTCATGCGAGCCACAGATCAGGAGCTATTAGCCATATATGAGAGCCTTCTGATGGCATATCCAACTAGCGCACAATCACGCCCTTTTCGTAGTGTGAAATTATTTTACCTGTTCTTATAAGCGCGTCTGAATTATCAGAAATACATTTTTCGTGACGCGCTTTGTTACATTATTTCAGTTCTTGTCTGAAACAACGGAGGCTGGGAAGATGTCACTATTTTGTGGGTGTTTACTGATTTATGAGAAATATGATAAATAGACTAATAAATGCAATAACTGATTCATAAATTTCTCATCGACGCTGAATCAACTAGTTGTTCTGCTATCGTGAATGGCACTGCAATCAGTATTGACTTATCGTGATATACACAACAATTCGAGCGGGGAAGTATTTTGTGACACAGTTACAAAAGACAAAGGACTATTATTTTTAACACAGTAAAATACGCGTTGTCTTTTTCACTGTATAAGTAAGTAGGTAAAGTAAAGGTATCCCTGTAACGGACCGTGGAGGCCCATGGGGTTGTGAGATGTTGAGGTTCCCACATTTTCTAGACAATCGGCTCATAGATGGCGGTTAGGTTGTAAGCCTTACCCGCCGGCCGCCCTTTACCCCCAAGAACATTCCGAGAATATTCCTGGTACTTATTTCTCTTAGAGGATGAGTCGACCCCAAGGCCATAGTGTGGCTGGAAGGATTAGGTAAATAGAAAAAAAAATCAAATGACGTCATCGGGATTCGATCCCTCGACCTTCCGGCTTGTAGCACAGTGCCTCAATCAGCTACGTTACCGCGTGTCTTTTGCACGCTATACCAGTTAAAACATTGCTGATTGTCTCAAAGGAGAACAGTAACTCACAATCTCTTTATTGCTACATGACCCCTGTTTGGTAAAGAAACGCTTGACCACACAAGAAAGATATTGTGTGGAACCAGTTTGGATGAAGAAACCTCACTGTTCGTACTCACACTTCAGAGATATTTATTAATCTTGTTTGTCTTTGTGTGGAGGGATGACAAACTTTATATACTTGGGACCAACAGTAAAGCATTTAATTCACGAAGAAATAAGGGTCAGATTAATTTCCGGGATTCTTGATGCAACTTAGATCAGGCTCCTGTGTCTCTCGACCGCCTCTGTGGTCTAGTGGTCCTGACTACAGATCCAGAGGTCCGGGCTTGATTCCCGGCGCTACCAGATTTTCTGAGAAGTAGTGGGTCTGGAACGGCGTCCACTCAGCCTCGTGAGCATAACTGAGGAGCTTTTTGAATGGAAAAGAAGAGGCTCCGGTCTAGAAAACCGAAATTAATGGCCGTGAGGATTTGTTGCGTTGACAACGCGACACCCTCTACCTTCAAAAGTTTGCACTAACTTCGCCGACAAGAGGCGGTAGCTCGGTCGGTATATTTCGCTTGCGGACTACAGGCTACGGAGTTTGTTTTGTTTTGTTTGTCGTGTGTCTCTCAATATCTTGTCTAAAGACGTAGAGATAAATCCTCTCCATAAACCTATATACTATTTTTAATATAAATTATATTATTACTTCCCCAGGTCTCTCATTTTTCAGATTTTCTGGAAATAAGTTTGTACACCTTTCTTTTTGTCGTGCTTGCTGTTAAGTCAGACCCATCTCATTCTCCTTTGCTTACCACCATAATACTATTTTATTTTATAGTAATATTTATGTAGGTCCTCATCATGTAATTTTTCCTGTCTCTTGTCATTTCATCTCTTTCAGATTCAAATATTCTCCTCTACTTCCGGCCCCCAGGCACATCTAATTCAAGGTTTTGCCTGTTGAAACGCTTAAGTATATAAATACTGTCCTGCAATCCTGCAAGTACAGGCAGAGCAACAGCAAAACTGTCTGACCTTCAGGTATAGTGTAATTTTATGTTTTGCTTCGGTGGATATTTATGAATAAATTTTTTCCATGTGTTTAATAATTAAACACTACGCCACGAAGGCGTACGGGGAGTTGATGTATAGATCCATATTTTCTTGCCCTCGGCACTATTTGGAGGCGAGTGGTCATCTTCACGCCCTGGGAAATAGCCCCGAATATCCATTAGAAAGGAGGCCCGGTGGGCCTCATAGCCGGTCTGGACGACGTGAGGAAGAGAAAATTCTTGACTCTACTGGGACTCAAACTCCGACCCTCCGGTCGTCCATGACGTAGCAAGTCTCTACGGTGACTGCACTATCCCGTATCATATATATATATAATACGTATGCATATATTTGCTGTAAAAATGCTAATTTCGTTGGTTAGATAGAAGTATCAAATTTAATTAACGTCTTCATGTTTAATTTATACTCTTTATTTTTCAATTTTATACACGTTTATGTTCTTCTTAAGGCTAGATCGCGTTACCGGTTGCATGACAGCACGAATTTTTGTGCAATTTTAATAGTGTTTACTGCCAAACTTCATGTGGACTGGTTTTGCCAGGGTACAGTTGCTGAAAATTAAGCTGGTCGTGTTGAAACATAGTCGTACACGTGTACTTACATAATAGTCAACAGCGGGAGCTGCCTTGTATGCGACAGGTGCCTTAACAATGGCTGGTGCAGCATACGCGGGGGCGGCATGATAAGCTGGGGCGGCATAGGCAGCGGGGGCGGAGTATGCTGCATATCCACCGCCCAGGTAGCCCGCTTGAGCAACAGCTATAAGTGTTACTACAATGAGGACCTGTAAACAGGAAAGAAAGTGGAACAATACGTCATTTTCACAGTACAGACATGGAAAATACCTTTCGAGAATCCAAGGAAATGATTTCATGCTCTTGGGTATGACCTCGATAAAGAAACTGTCAGTTTCCTAAATTTTAACCGAAAGCAACCATCTAAAGGGACGGAATGAATCCTTTAATTCAATGGTTCATTCATTCATTCATTCATCCACAATGGCTCTACAGCCCTTTTTGGGCCTAGCCTCTTCATCAGTTCCGTAATCTTTCTTACACAGAAGGTAGGACTCCTTGGACGAGTGAGCAGCCCGTTGCAAGGCCGCTACCTAGGCACAGAACAACACAAACACAAATAAAACGCACAAACACATCCATCCTGTGAGTGGAATTCGAACCCACGATCCCAGCGTTCGAGCGAGCGAAAACAGTTCATGCCTTAGTCAGCGCGGCTGCTGTGATAGGCCCTAATATGATATAATACTATTTAATTCCACAGTTATTAAAACGATGAATTAATGACTGTTTTCTGAATCATAAAACTTGAAGGATACTTAGCTGTAATATCGGTGAAAGGTTTACCTGTTATACCTAGGCACTTAGTAACGCATTCATTTGAATTAATTTTATTAGCTGAAATAAAAAGAATAGTAATAAATTTATTAAACAAGTTAGCTTAGCGTAAATGAGGTAGATGCTGTGCTGAGTCACTAATTTTAAGCATGCCACTACTGTTTCCTACCATATCCTTGCCAGTTCACCATTAGTGTTACATTCGACATACAACTCCGTAGAATTTCCCAAGTCTGCAAATATTTTATGTATCAATCAGTAGTGAAATAAATTTCTTTTCTCTTTGTTCATAGATGTGTTCCATTGAAGCAAAGCAAACTGATTTTTGTTTTGCCTTAGTGACGCATTTCTGCAAAGTGGTAAGTCCAGGTTTCAGCAGTGTACCGATATATGTATCTGTCCCTACCGTGTCCTCAGGACTGTAAGTGTTCACTATTACGGTCTTCTGATAGTAAACACCGTATAGTCCGGTAGACAGGTATCAACGTGTTCTTGGAATTTAATGTCCCAAATTTCAGGTAGTTGAGCTGGATGCATGTTGGTGCCTGTTTACTGGAATATCGGTGTCACATTGCAGAAGATCGTAATATCATACACAAGCAGCAGCTAAGTAATTTAGTCCATGGAGCTGAGTTCATTTTTACAAGCCAACACTCACTTAGCTACTGAAGAATTTTCCACAATTTTATGCAACCCGAGGTTTTTCTTAATGTTCACAAGAGCCTGCCAATGATCGCTATTCTCAGCCAGATCAATCAAGTCCACATAATTCAGTATATTTCTCATACATACATTTTAATATTATTCTCCCACCTACGTCTAGGTCTTCCCAGTGGTCTCATTTCTTCTCGGTTTCCCGCCCAAATCCTAAATGCATTCCTTTTCCCCCCTATGCATGCTAAATGCCTTGCCCATCTCATAATAAGTATAAGAAACCTTGCGATTTGCACACCTCAATAAATATTATTAAGGCAATCAAATCTAGGACGGTAGAATGTGTGGGACAGGCTGCAAGGGTGCATAAATGCAAGATTTACATCCAAAATTAGCCACAAAATCTGAAAGGAAGAGACAACTTGCAAGATCTTGGCAGAGATACAAGGAGAGGAGGCTCTGAGAAAGGATCTTAAGCAACGTGATGTGGACCGAATTCTTCTGGCTCAGAATAGGGACCAGTGTCTGCTACTGTGAACTCAGTAATAAACCAGTCACCAACCACGAAAACCACATGACACTAGACCATACTTAACATCAAAACCTCTTACGCAACACAGATACCAAACGCCATAGCAAGGCCCTGTACACAATCCACACTACAATTCAAGAAAATACGGAGTACTAGAAACATAAAATATCAACTTAAAATAACAATATTTTAAATTAATTTAAATAAAATTCAGCAAAAATTTAGACTTAATTTAAACGAAGTCTTAACGACGTTTCAAACAATGAACTAAAACAATACAGTGCATCAACTACCTGTATAATCTACCTGATGATGATGATCTTATAAGATCTAAACTTTTTATAGGAGAAGCAATTATAATCCATAAAAACGAAGTACATTTCTAGTCTACGAACATGCTAAGAAGTTGCACCGCCAAGACTGTCCCTGCGAATTACGTTAGTCAGTAATAAACTTCCCAGTTCCCTAGGAGTTGAGAACTTCCTTGAGTAGACGAATTACTAACAGCTTCTCAGTTATTCTCCTTTACAGAGTTAGTTATTTGCTTGGTTGTTTAGAGAGGAAATCTGTGAACAAGATAAGGAATTAAAAGCATTTAAAGTCAAATATTCTGTCATCTCCTGACGTACAATTTAACTTGCAGTAGCCTACAAGACCAGCCTTGGAGATTCGATCGTGTCCGGTCATGGTCGTCATGGTATATCCGGAAGAATCTGCCTCAGCAATTAATAATTATGTAGAAGTTTGAATGAAAATGGCAATGTATATTATTCATTTTAGGGAACAACTTTACGGCTCTCGATATCACCTCGAATAGAGGCACATTTCTCATTCTACGTAAGAAACTCAATCATGCTTCATTCTGGGGAGACCCCAAATTCAAGTATTGAATAGAAGTTCAGTTAGCGTTTCGTGGCAACCATTAGCGAAAACAGAAAGAAATTTAAAAGGCATTTTAACCATTTCGCTGCTTATTATTTTCTTCCTATTTTGCTACACTAACACAACTTCCAGTTAAAACACTCTGACGCGACGCCTGAAAGCCTGAACCCCTATCTGCTGAGTGGAGCTTCACCTAGCAATTTACTAGGTAACGGTTACCGAATCGCTTCAGTTTTCGCGGCAACCAATATTCTGGAGGTCTCGTCATCGGAAAACGCAAAATGCGAACCCTTCGAGATGGTGTTCCCTAGTCGGCATGGCAAGCAATTATGAAACAGAGGCATTCGTGAACAGATTAGAGAGGTGGGAGGAGATCAGAGGAGACCGGAACGGAGATGAGATAAGAGATCAGAAGACAAATAACCAGAAGAGAGACAAGATCAGAACAGAGGAGACCGGAACGGAGATGAGATAGGTGATCAGAAGACAGATAAGCAGAAGAGAGACAAGATCAGAACAGAGGAGACCGGAACGGAAATGAGATAAGAGATCAGAAGACAGATAACCAGAAGAGAGACAAGATCAGAACAGAGGAGACCGGAACGGAAATGAGATAAGAGATCAGAAGACAGATAACCAGAAGAGAGACAAGATCAAAACAGAGGAGACCCACAACAGAAGAAAGGAGGAGAACCGACAGAAGTCTTCGTGTGGAGTAGTTACAGTGAACATTAGAGTGTGATCATTGTTCGCAGTTACGAAGGGATATGATTATCCTGTGCCTTAATTGCCCGTAGTTCCGCCTGGCGTAATTCTCCAATAAACTGCATTAAAAAATCCGTAATCCATTATTTATTTGTCACGGAACCCCGGTCACGTGACAATACGAAAAAAGTGACAGCGAAAATGCATTTTCATAGCACAGTAAACGAACTCGAATGATACACCGAAAGGAAGCTATCATTTTTTCGACGTAGACTAAACTCGAATGTCGCACTGTACGGATATATTCGACTTCAGTCGAATTTCGAAGCAATAGGATTAATGTCGGTATCAGCCACTTCTTTTCCAAGTTTTCGCAATCATCCACTTGCATGACGCTGTACATTCTGTTCAACTCACAATGGGTTGTTTTACAGCGCAACAAAGGATCAAACAAGAAGTACGGGAACATTCAATAGAATTATTAGCACTTCCTCACAACGGATGTTTACTGCCAACACACTTCTGGCATTCATTAGAAGTTTCTGTAGGGTTTTAACGATGCCATATCAACTGAGGAAGTTATGACCAACCGTAAAAGACAAGGAAATCATGAATGGCGAACTGAGAACATTTCGGAGAGAAGCGGCAATGATCTATTTGAAGTTGTGAAGGGACTGAGAAATCCTCTTGGAACCGGATTTCCTACCATTTTTTGATGGTAGTTCCCACATACCAGATGATTCCAGTCCATAGTACCCCATTCTTTTTCTCTAATATCCATTTTAATATTATCCACCCCCTTCATCTAGATCCTCCTGGTGGCCTCTTTCCTTCTAGATTTCCCTCCAAAACCTAACATGCATTCTTCTTCTCCCCCTTCCTGCTACATTCCCTGCCAACCTCAACCCCTTTCCTTTATCACGAAGTGTAAAAGTTATAGAGCTCCTCATTATGCAGTTTTCTCCAACTTCTTGTTACTTCATTTCTCTTCAGTCTTAATATACTCCTCAGCACCCTGTTTCAAACACCCTCAGTCTGCATTCTTCTCTTAATGTGAGAGATCAAGCTTCAAACCATACAAAACCACAGGCAAAGTTATTATTGTTCATATTCTATTCTTCACGTTTTTAGGCAGTAGACGAAAACGCAGAAGTTTTGAACAAAATGATAGTAAGAATTACCATAATTATGGTTTTAAATTAGATGGAAATTATGCATGAAGATGAGAATTAGACTCAACTGGCTTAGGATAGTGTTCATTCGTGGACTCTTTTGAATGTGGTTATGATCTTTCCGCTCGTATAAAATATTTGGAATTTAAGTAGAAATCTTTCATGAGAGTGTGGACTGCATTCACCTAGCTCAGAATAGGATTTATTCGTGGGCTCATATGAGTATGATAATGAAAATTGGGCTTCCAAGAAAGATTGATTTTGCACTAAACGTCTCAGTGATTATCAGGCCCTCAAGGGGCACATTTTACTGCATGGATTTAAGCAAATTTTCCAGACTTGGATTCGTTTTATATAAGAGTCACGGGTAAAGCAAAGCCAGCTGATTTCGATAAAGGAAAATTGTTTCCGTTAGCAAATTTTGCCTTTTATATGGTTAATTTCGACTAAGTCGGCTCATGCCTTTATGTAGCCAAGCGACAACCAACTCTGCACGTCTTTCCAACAGAACAAAGTTGCAGGATCTGAAGCTGTCACAGCGTAGGTCAAGTAAGCTTCTGGCCTCAGAGATATAAAGCTATGAGGTACATGTTACGCGTATCTATCTGTATATATCTACGTCTCTGCAGCCCTTGTGTTGGACCTTGGCCGCTTTTCAGTTTCTAGATCTTTTACGCAGAAGTTAGTACTCCTTGGGCGTGGGATCAGCTCGTCGCAAGGCCGCTATCTACACACAGGATAGCACAAGTGGTATTCGAACCCATGATCCCAGTGTTTGAGCAGGCGAAGACAGTTGTTACGCGTGTAGATTCAAAAATAATTTTTAGAGCAATTAGAAGTTAAAATTGTTAAAGGATTATAAAATTAAATACGAAGAAGTAGTACATAAAATATCGGGTTTTATGTTTTCAGTTTTCTCTATTAACTTCTCCGTGAGAAAGGGTTGAGGAGATTCAAATGAAGTGAGATTATTCTTTTACCGGACAAAATGGAAAAATTCAAAACATTGCTTCAATATTAAGTCGTAGACTTCGGTATTTTTGTTATTTTGGCCAAAATTTTTAACAGTTATGAAGAGATTTTTATGCAGAACGTCACAAATGAACACATTTTTTAACAACGGCAAGTCAAACATCGGGAATGATGAAAACACACGCAGGCAGATGAATGTGAATAGGTAGGATTTAAGGTTCTCACAGCGGTGGTTCTGGGTTATAACGTCATGTAGTCCGTTGAAATTCAACCGCCTTTTCGGAAGATCATATCGCCTCCATCTTCAGAGTCAAAGAATAAGCGAAACAAGAAACCAGCGTGACACATTGCCACCTGCTTTAATATCAGTTTCCTGCTTGACATAATCTTCCACCCTGAAGATGGAAGCGATTTATTCCTCTTAAACATCTGTTGATTTTCATCGGACTACACTGCCTTGTATCCCGGAAGATAGAGCATTTGAAAAGCAAAAAGTGTCTGTGTATTAGGATTAATTTTGATTGTACACATACAGAACAGCTAACAATATCCAGAGTTCATATGCATGTTTTTTGCCAAAAATATTCCAAATAAACGCATAAGGCAGCCGTATGGGTATCTCTGTCACTATATTTCATCTACGAAACTATATGATGAATTTCAAGAAAATTTTAGTAAATATTATATACTGACCGCCTTCCTCGCATATCCTGCACCTGATTTTCAAATGACGCAGAATTGAAACAATGAAGAGGGTGCACAATGGCCACAGATAATCCAGTTTCAAGTGGATTTCTGGAGAGAAACTGAAGATTTGTATCAACACCTCTATCAAGATCCCTATCAATTACTATTTCTTAATCACTTCATCTTCCGCTTGTTGCCATGGGAACGTAAAATGACGCTAAAATATCACACAAATGTTGGCATTTCTTCTTCATACACATAATTAATGTTTTCCTTGTTCTAGACCTACCTGTGGAATTGCGCCCATTATGGAGTTCAGTTTATGTGGAACCCAACTCACTGATACACTGAGACACACTGATACTGGAAGTCGTGTCCACGAACCCTTTTATACTTAAAAGGACACCAAAGTGTATTGCTTAAATTAACCACCACTCACATTCCTTCTGAAACCGCGATGAATGTTAGTGTAGTCCACACATATTTTTTTTTCTTTTCTATCAAACGGCTTTGTTATACGTCACCATTGAGTTCTATACGCCCAAGGTCAATTTTTCCATAAGGTACTCGCTATGTAATACATGGTATAGGCTACCTCTGCTCTAGTATAGTTACGTGGTTCCAGCCAAAGAGGGGCAAAGCACTTTCACTTGCTGCCCGTCGATTCTAGACCAGCCGTGGTCAGTACTGTGCATGTAGGTTACCTCCCTACGATACGCCTTCATTGTGGACCGAAAGAAGGTCTTAATTTTTTGTGAATTTAGTTCATGCGCAATTTAATTTCTGCCCTTACATCTCATAAAATAAAACATTCATTTGTTCATCCATATATGAACCATTCACTTACTTATCCATACGTGAAACACCGTCTTCCTCTTCTTCTTCTTCTTCTTCTTCTTCTTCTTCTTCTTCTTCTTCTTCTAACTTCTTGGATCTTGTTCTCTGACCAGTTCCCTTTCAGAATTAATTATGAAATTATGAATTTTACAGATAGTCGGCTTTACCCCTCGGACTAGACGTTAAGCCAGTCACAAGACCGCTACCTACAGAGCGTGGCATAAACACAGAAGACATGCGGACGTACTTGTACTCATACACAGAACCCACGTTTCCAGTGTTAGAACGAGAGAAGACATTTCGTTCCTTCAAAGAGCGCGAACACATTGACCGGCGACGTACTACAAACTTTTCATACGTAAACAATGCCTCCACGTACCCACCCACTTAATCTCCAACCCCTCCAGCCTTCCTTCCATTGCGCATTCATTCCTATATTCATTCATTTATTCATCCGCACATTCACACATCCAATTTTTCAACAAAACCTTCCATTATTCAATTTGTTATTAATTAATTAGTTCAAATTTTTAATTATATTATAATGATCCAAAATATTGTAAATGGTGTTTAAAGTTACCATCATCTCAGAAAAGTCTGAACCATATATCCACTCGGAATTATTGCGTTTTTGGACTTTGTCTTTGGACTTTAACAAAGTCATTTTGAAGCACATTAAAGGAGACAACGTTTCGGAAAATGGATCTGTTTCCGTCCACAGGTGAGGGGCTGGGATACACTCTATTGGGTCAGAAAGTACTATGTCTGTTCCCCAGTAACATACACCATCGTCAGAACCCTTTGGAATCTACTTCATCTGCTATCGGTCCTAGGGCTGTGGAGAGTTTCGAACTGAGAAAAAAAGGACTCAAGATGTCTAACGCGTCAAGATTATTGACTTTGTACCTAAAAATTTCTGTCCTTGATGTTTAGAAATATTAACGTTGTTTTATTCTGAATGTTCGTCAAGAACAAGGGATGGATTATTATTATTATATTATTCATGCTCACTTTGTAATTAATGTAGATTATCATATTTGTATCCTGTTTTTTAAATTATTTTTGTGTATTTCTCTCTGTTCGTGCTAACTTTGTAATTGGCCTCTGTGTTGTTAAGTTTGCACGAAAACAAACACGAATTGAATTGAATTATTATTATTATTATTATTATTATTATTATTATCATTTATTTGCTTGTTTGTTTACTTTTCTTCATTACTGTGTTTTCCCAAGAAATTTCCTGTAATTTATTTTGGACTTATAATGTGTTTGTCTAATGTTTGTATAATGTTACACTTAATTACTTTCATCTTCACTGTGCTAAGTCTGTAATTGGCCTTACGGCTGTTGACTTGGCACATAAATAATAAAGAATTGAATTTAATTGAATTATTATGGCTCTACAGCCCTTAGTTGGGCCTTGGCCGAATTTTCATTTTTTTATCCTGTACACAGTCAGCAGGACTCCTTGGACGGGGGATCAGCCCGTCGCAAGGCCACTACCTACACACAGAACACAAACACAGAATAAACGCACACAATACAGACATCCATGCCTTAAACGGGATTCGAAGCCACAATCCCAGCGTTCGAGAGCGGAGACCGTTCATAATTTAGACCGCGCGGCCACTGTGATCGGCACAAGGGCTGAATAGTTCTTCGAATATTCTTTACGAAGGAACGCGGTTTTCTGTTGCTGGCCGGAAATTTAAATAATTTTCGACTTCTCTGACGTCACCTGTCAGTAGTAAAATAAGAGTTGAAACTAAACGGTTTTGTTTACATTTTTTCTTGCTCCAGTTTTCCATATCCTTCCAGATAACTTCTAGAGATCTTTCGATCCAAGTTTCATAGCCACCCTCCCCTCATGGCGCTGTTGTATCCACAACCCTCCCCATGAAATTTCTCATTTCATTTTCTCTTCATTGTCACTGTTAGTCTAATTTTCTTATTATGAAAAAAATATAAGTAGGCTTATGAGATCAACACGCTGTGTGTCCCTATAAACTTTTGAATGCCTGAGCCAATTTATAAAACTTTGGTATTTATACCGTGACACCTGAGCTCATTTTCGACGGCGTGCCTCATAAAGAAGCTCTCATCAGTCTGTGTTTCTATGTGTGTGTTGCTAGGTAACAGCTCGGTGAAAAGTTACCGCGGCTACGATTACACACGCAATAATAGAAGAATTGTTGGACGAGTCGTTTTCTATGCTGTCCGTGTCATATTAAAAGAAAGCAGTCAATTAATTCTTTCCAGAACTTCTTGTTATTATTTTCTCTAAAGTAATTCATGGAACCTTTACTCAATTTCACATAGTGCAGGCGAACGGTTTAAATATTTTTGGACTTCCCCCACAAAGTCATCTGCTGAAACCACGAGGTATCTCGTCGTTCTACTATTTTGGGTGTATCTTGGCTGTCTTTTATTATTCTTATTCTCTTCAGAATAATTCGAATAATCTTGCTACTATTCTTTCTTTTGTAAAAGATATTGACTTCAGGCATGAAGCCTTCCCCCATACTTCAGGGTGATTCTAAATTATTGTCGGGATTTCCGTGGCCTATAATTTTCAAACCGAAAATAATGAATAATACTTCTGACGGGATATAAAAATGTTACTAAAACATTTTAATACACATTGAATCAATACTGCAGAGTAATAAACCACTTCATCATGCGCGCCCTTCATTACACGTAATGTTTGAAAATTATAAGCCACTGAAACCCCGACAATAATTTAGAAACACCCTGTGTAAATTCATATTTAATCCAGGGTAATTACCATATACCCCAGATTTACTTGAAGCTCCTGGAAAGCCTTCGTGTCATTGAAATTTGTTTTAATTACTGACTGGCTCAATTGGAAAATTTCATTTCTTCTTATCTGTCGATTTGCAATTCATAAACGTCCTAAATTACGATGTTTGGAGTCGGCTGATAACATCAGCAAATAATAATTTATGCTTAAGTCACAGCACATTCAGACATACAAATCCTCACAATTTAATCTTGCAATATCCATATTAATGTTATCCTACCAATTTTATTCTCCGTTTCGCTATAGGTATATGTTCAGTCCGACCTGAGCTCAATGTTTTAGTTACAATAGCAACACAAGTTTGGTTACAATAATGTTCCTGTTACCTAACTGCTTCTTCTCCTCCTCCTCCTCCTTATAATTAAGTCTCCTAAATAGATTAGGCAGAGAACTCAGAGTTCCAAGTTTATTACTATTGCAATTCTTGAATTATTTTATAAATTCTGTTTATTATTCTAAGAATTGCGTTTTAAATTTTATTTCTCTGACATTTACAAGAGCCGATACGCTTTGTGATCTCTCAGGAGGTAACTCTGGTAACAACATCTTTGAATCGAGCACAGTCTCCCCTGGAGATGTCAGCCGGTTACCAGAAGGGACTCGCATTTTTATGATATCAATATATTATTCTCTTATTTCACGATTTAAAACTGATCGCTCTCAAATCCAGGCAAATATATCCTCACATAGTCATATCGTCGCTCTCGTGAGCCAGAAGAATCCAGTTCGCAATTCAATATTATCTTCTGATCTATGCCTAGATCTTCCAAATTGTTTCTTCCTCTCAGATTGTGCTACCAAAATTATGTATACAGTTCTTGTTTCTCCTATGTATGAAAAAACGAACGTAAATAAAAGGAAAAGAATTTAAATGTGTAGGATTTGAGGTTCTCACATCGGCGGATATGGAGAGTTCTTTCTTCTGGTATATAGCGCCGTCCAGTTCGTCGAAGGTCAACTGGTGTTTCGAAGGAGCGTGTAAACTTTTGCCACCTGTTTTACAATTGTTCCTTGCTTGGCTTAATTTTTGAGCCTGAAGATGGAGGCGACATATTCCTTCTGAAACGTCGATTGATATTCAACGAACTACACGGCGTTGTATCCCAGAAAATAAAACTCATAAACGAGTTTCAAGTTTTGGTTGTGGTATTTCCTCTGTTTCAAACGTAGAACTCTTTCGGTCATTAAAAATATTCAATATAGTGTCGAAGCCTAAGACGGTTGAAAGCCTACTGCCAAATCTGAATAAGTCTTCACGGCTTCATGCTTAGAGGGACATAATCTTGTCTTTAAAAATTCACGAAAGAATTCTTGCCCCTACTAAAACCAGTTAAATAAAAAAAATTATATCACTTTCCTAAATACTTTTTTTTTCTTGTGTCTTCCCTTAAAATTCGGCGTACTTTTTGAGGCACTATACTACAAGCGGAAGGTCGTGAGTTCATATCCCGATGAGGTCATTGGATTTTTCAATTGACCTAATCCTTCTTGCCGCACTATGATCCTAGATTCGACTCAGCCTTTAACAGAAATGAGTACCAGGTGAGGAAGGAAGACGGAAATAGATTTGGTTTCCGAAACGTCGTGTCCTCTATTACCTAGAGTGTCCTATATTACCTAGAATTCCGGACGATGGAGAAAGTCCAAAAACCCAGTAATTCTGTATGTCATCCGCCGTCATC